TAAATAAATAAATAAAAATACACTCAGCTTTACACATGTAGGCCCAATACCCAACATCAGTCTGCCCTGAGTATGAGGCGCATGAGCATGTGAAGCTGTCTTATACTCAGTCAGTCCCTTGATCCATCAATGTCAGTGTTGTCCACTCAGACTGGTAGCAGCTCTCCAGGACTTCAGGCCGAGGACTTTCATATGAACTACCACCTGATCCTTTTAGCTGGAGATGCTGGGGATTGAACCTGGGACCCTCTGCATGCCAAAAGCAGATGGTCTACCACTGAGCCACAGCCCCTTTCACAATACACAACATGGGTGCAATCCAAATCCATCATTGTGTGCAGGCCCTACCCAGTGAAGAAGAACCCCATCTGAATAAGAATGTATTTGGCTGTATTCAAAGAAAAGTCTCCAGATGGCAACTGAAATGGTCTCTCTTTACCTCACTGTGACCGACAAAGAAAGCTTTGACTTTTGAAAGCTTATACCCTGAAACTCTTCTAGGTCGCTAAGGTGCTAATGGACGCGAATCTAACTCTTCTACAGCAGACCAACATGACTACCCTCTGAAACTACTACTTCTATGACTACTAGTAGTAGTACTACTAGCACTACTACAGAGGACAATTACTGCTCTCATAAAAATTGTCTTACCAGAATTCGGCTGCCCATGCTTTCCAGGACGAGCTGATTCCGAGCCATCGGTTGATTTGACTTCTAAGAGGTATGACGCTTTCTTTTCCCTATCAAACACAGAGGTAGTATAGATTGAACCCGTAGTAGGGTCCAAGCGGAAAAACGTATAGTCCCCATTGCGATCGGGTAGCAAAGAATAAGTGATCTGAAAGACGAAGAGAGAGGAGGTCTACAATGAATCCAGACTTTGGCAGGAGGGGGTTGTCTTTCCCACTGGGCAGGCTTGAAATGGGCAAAAGGTAACCCGGCAAGCCCACATGTGCACATACACCCCCACCAGACCATTGTTTTCAGGACACGTCTTCTCACTCTCCAGTCCAAAGGAAGCACACTGCCTTGCGTTCTACTAAAGAAATGACACCAAGTGCATTCCCTCCGTAGGTCTCAAACCAGGGCTGGAATCTGCCAGCATCAGGGAGCAGATGGCAAGGCTGAAACCTTCCCCAAATGGGGAAGTCCAAGGAAGCCCAGGAGTGCCTTTGTTGGCGACATCATTCTCCCTCTGAGTGGCAGGAGCCACTACCTCTACCTAGGGCAGGAGCACAGTATGACACTGGGAGGAAGGAAGGTCTTGGATCCTTTTCCGATCCTTGGCCCTGTCCAAAGGGGGAAAGGGTGGAGGCAGCCTGACAGAGAGGTATGCCACCTGTGAGCTGCCAGGTGAAGACGGTGACCCTCAATGGCGACCCTGATTGTAATTCTTAGCATTGCTATTCATTCACTGGCGCCAAACACAAATTCAACACTGTTCATTGTTTTTTACACTTACCTTGCCATTTGGACCAAGGTCAAGGTCAGTGGCAGAAACCTGCAGAACTGAAGTTCCAATCTCTGCTCCTTCTGTAACCGAGGCTTCGTAAATTGAGGAGGTGAAGAAGGGGACGTTGTCGTTGACATCTGAAAAAAATGTTTTAAAAGTCCAAACGAGTGGCCTACGCATTTAAGCTGTTAAAATGCTTAAGATTTGCTTTTTTAATAATACTGGTTTTTTTCAGAGGTCTCAAGACAGCTTATACCCTTAAAAGTAATAATACACACACTTAGGACACTGGTTTTTATTTATTAAGATCTGATTGCGCTCTATGAGTGCACTGGATAAAACTATAAAATGGAGGATCTCCCATCATTTGCTGTCTTGTAGCTTTTTATGATGTCTCCAGATAAATATTGGTTGCCTACTTGGGTTCAGAAGTCAGGAAACCCACCAATTGCCTTGTGGCCTTCATACTAAATGACAGATTTCCTTTTGTAATTAGTTTAGTGCCATAACAGGCAGCACCAGTTATCTGTAGCAGATTTATCTTCCCCAACGTCCCAGACTGCAAAGGTGACTACCCTGTCTACATGTATACTTCATATTGATGGCTCTGCTAGATACATATTTTCTGTAGTAGCCACTGCAGTATTTTATTATTGATGGCTCTGCTAGATACATATTTTCTGATCTGTTGTATTAGCCACTGCAGTATTTTATTGGTTAGTATTTTATTTTACATATTTTGAGAATTAAATCTGAAGAACATTTGGTCACTTTCACCTGTTTGTGATCCGACCACCATGCACTATAGCAACCAAATGCCTAAAACTGAACCTGAGTCAACCATAATGCATTTCTGATTTCAGAAGCTTGAAACAACTTTAAAGAATCAATATGAAAGGCTAGTGCAAAAAATTCAGATTGATGATCTCCAGATGCACGGATTGAGGGCGGCCTAAAAGCCAGTTTGGTATAGTGGTTAACAGCACGGACTCTAATCTGGGAGAAACGGGTTTGATTCCCCACTCCTCCACATGCAGCTGTTGGTGTGACCTTGGGTCAGTCACAGTTCTCTCAGAGCTGTTCTCTCAAGAGCAGTCCTCGAAAGAGCTCTCTCAGCCCCACCTACCTCACAGGGCGTCCGTTGTGGGGAGAGGAACAGAAAGGAGATTTTAAGTCCCTCTGAGACTCCAAGTGAAGGGCGGGGTATAAATCCAATCTCTTCTTCTTCTTAAAAGGATAGACATGCTCAGCATAAGGCTCTCAAGGCTGTTTATAACAACAATACCATCTCATTCCAGTGGGCACCTCTACCATACAAATCAAATAATCTGCACAATGGGACAACCCAGGGAGAGGCGAGAGGTTTCTGAAACCCAGAAGGAATCCCCCGGTTTGCCAAGAACTTAGACAGATACAGAGAGTATTTTTTTTAAAAACTAAAAGTAACAGGCAATGTCTGTACGTGCAAAACTGTTTTTAAACAAGGTAAGGATCCGTCAGTGAGGGAGGGAGGCACAGCTAGAAGGGCAACGGTAGGGTTGCCAACTCTAGCTTGGAAAATGTCCCTGGAGATTTGGGAGTGGCGTCTGTTCCGGGCAGAGCTTGGGGAGGGGAGGGAACTCAGCAGGAGCAAGATGCCAGGGTCTGTAGTGTATCCAGCCTGACATGTCCGGACATGCCCGGAGTGGCTCAGGCACAAACACCACTAGCTTCATGCCAAAAGACAATGGGCCAGTAGGATCCTAGCCAGGCCCAATGAAAGGGCTAGGTCCCCAGCTGGGAGGCCAATAGGTCTCTCGGTTACTGTAAATAGCCTATCGGGAGTGGGGTGTGTGTTTGGTGGCGGGTTTTCTGAAGGAATATAAGCCGGCCTGCGAGCCAGCCAAGTGTCTTTGTTCCTGACTAAATAAAGGTATGCTTAGCTGAAATCACTCTCCGTGTGCATACTTTTCAGGGTCCATCCTCAGAAACTGCCATTTGCCTCTGGGGGAAATGACCTCCGTAGTCTGGAGTTTGTTTGCTTTTTGTTCTACGTCTTCATTATTTTGCAGTCTCGCCTCTTTTGCCGTCATGTCGCAGCCGACTTACAGCAACCCCATAGGGTTTTCAAGGAAGACGAAGTTCAGAGGTGGTCTGCCACTGCCTGTCTTTGCATTGGTCTCCCATCCAAGCACCGACCCAGGGCTGACCCTGCTTAGTTCTGAGATCCAGGCTAGGCCAGTGTTCCCTCTAAGCTGACTTAGTGCGAGCCAGCTCACAATTTTTTGGCCTCCGGTTCACACATTTTTGTCTGCGCTCGGGAAGGATGTCTCCAAAGCAAACTGCTCTACGCAGTAGCCCAATCGCTCGCTCGCAACTTTAATGCCAGCCAACTCACAAAGTAGAATTTTTGCTCACAAGACTCCGCAGCTTAGAGGGAGCCCTACCCGCCTCCAATGGAAACCAGCAGCCCCGGGATCTTTCTCGCTGCATTTTTTTTTTAAATCACCCCAAGCTTCTGAGCCATTTCCAAAGGCAACCCCGCACAGAGTGTATTACAGTAATCAAACCTGAATGTGATCAGAGCCTGGACAACTGTCAATTTCATCGTGCCAATCAAGAAAGGGGCCACCACTGGAGCACCAACAGAAGTTGGCTGAAGGGGGGGGGGCATCCCAAAGACATCATCTCATGGCATTAAAAAGCCATTCTCTTTTAACAGCCTGAACTGCAGAATGAGCTCACAAATCCTGGCCTCTGAATAGACCCTCCGCCATCCCAAGCATGTTAACAAATCCTTAATAGCAGCTGCTATGGTGTTAAACCGCTTTCCCGTGGTGAGAGATGTGTGTTAAGAAACACCTGACAAGATCAATTTAACCTTTATCCTTTATTTTCTCAATGGGACTGATGGAAAGTTATTTAAGCAGGACCATTAAAAATGGAACCAAATGGGCACAAATGGCAGCGGGGCCGCTACGTCCAACTGAGCACTGTTCACTGAACGGCAACATGCCCCTCTCAAGGAACGCCATGCAATTCTTATTTTTTTTTAAATTACTCAGAATCGGTTGAATCCTTCAGAAGGAAAGTCCAAAACTATGGATCAGCCAACAAATTGACTTCTCTATGCGCCAGCAACAGAGAGACTGACAGGGCCACCCAAAGCAGAGTTATACCTCTTTAAGATCATTAAAATCAGTGGATTTAGAAGGGTGTAACTGCTTCGGATAGCACTATAATTATACCTAACTGGGCACTCAAGATTTCAGCAGGCGTGTAATAATTATAATTTATCATATAGTACTGTGTGTAGAATAGCCAGGAGATCCAAAGATTGTCTGGCAGCCAGAAGTGCTAGACAGAGCAGGCAGAGAAAGAAGTACTTTTCTCCCTTTCTCACAATACAAGAACTCGTGGGCACTCAATGAAATTGCTGAGCAGTCAGGTGAGAACGGATAAAAGGAAGTACTTCTTCACCCAAAGAGTGATTAACTCATGGAATTCACTGCCACAGGAAGTGGCTAGCATGGACGGCTTCAAGAGGGAATTGGATAAACATATGGAGCAAAGGTCCGTCAGTGGCTGTTAGCCAGAAGGTATAGATAGGAGCTCTCAGCCTTGGGCAAGTGATGCTCTGTATTCTTGGTACTTGAGGGGAGGGGGGCAACAGTGGGAGGGCTTCTAGTGTCCTGGCCCCACTAGTGGACCTCCTGATGGCACCTGGTGTTTTTGGCCACTGTGTGACAGAGTGTTGGACTGGATAGGCCATTGGCCTGATCCAACATTGGCCTCTCTTATGTTCTCTTTTAGCATTATGCACCACTAGGTGGTAATCTAGACTTAAGTCAAGAGATGTTTCAGAGGTGGTTTGCCATTGCCTGCCTCTGCGTCGCAGCCCTGGTATTCCTTGGAGATCACCCTTCCAAATACTAGCCGAGGCTGACCATCCTTAGCGTCCGAGACCTGAGAGGATCGTGCTAGCCTGGGTTACCCAGGTCAGCGGGCACAACTGGATTCAGAAGCAAAGGGTCAGTAATTTGCTTCTGGTTATTACACCCAACCATTATAACTTTGTTCTAGCAGACTATCTATACGTTTTAGAATTCCCTAAATACCAAAGAGCCTTCACCTTGGTCTGCTTTAATGCTTTACTATAACCTCTTTAGGAAGGGAGATATACATATATCCCTTACCCTCGACATGTTTGTCCCTGCCACATGGACACAGCTGAAACAGCTGACCGTGTGTTACTGCATTGCCCTTTATGAGAAGGGCATTCAGTCCAATTTTATCAAATTTTCCAGGCAGACTTGATTAATTTTATATTTCTCTCCTCCTCTCAGAGTGTTCTAATAAGACTAGCTTTACAGAGACCAAATTTAGCACTTCAGCTTGTTTAACAAGAAAGCAGCTGGTTAAGCCTTTCTATTAATTGTGTCTGTACTACTGAAATCAGCCTATTATGTGGGTATGAAATTTTATTGTATGTAGATGTGCTGGCAACTGTGTATCAATCTCGGCTGATCTATTATTGCAATAAATAAAAGTTTAACGTTTAACCATTATGACAACATCACCCACCTGTCACGTTAATGTACACGGTTGTGAATGCCGCTAGGGGAGCTGCGGCAACGTTCTGGGCCCGAACTTTCAACAAAAAGGTCTTGGTCGTTTCATAATCCAAAGGTTCGGCTACAAGGATAGATGCAGAGCCATCCTCTCTGTTTGGAGTCAAGTAGAATCTGACTGGCATGTTGGTCTCTGGAACGAGTCCCTCTTCTAGATTGTAAGTTATTCGTGGGTCGCCAAGGAGAGATGTTGCTTTAATGGTCTGCATGGGTCAAAACGTTTACAGAATGAGAAGCCGCATCCACCATAGTTTCAAAACTGGGGCGTGTTGGGGGGGGGGGTATTTGTGAATTTCTTGCATTGTGCAGGGGGTTGGACTAGATGACCCTGGAGGACCTTCCAACTCTATGATTCTATCATTCTAAAACAATCATGTGCCAAAAAAGCCAAAAAAACCCAAGAAGTTCCGCTTTCTCCTGTTAGATGGATGGCCCATCTGACTCAGTCCGGTTAACCCTGAATGGCAACAGGTCTCTAAACAGGTTTGAGACCCAGTGTGGTATAGCGGTTACAGTGTTAAGGCTAGGATCCGGGAGACCCTGTTTTGAATCCCCGCTCTGCCATAGACGTTCACGGGGTGACCTTGGCTTGTCATGCATTCTCAGCTCAACGTACCTCACAAAAGTTGTTGTGAGAATAAAACGGAGAGAAAAGCGATGTAAACCGGTTTGGATCCCCATTGGGGAGAATGGTGGTGTATACATTAAATAAACCAACAAACAAGCAAACTAATTCTTCAATCTCTCCCAGGGACTGAGGTCCCTCAGGTACACACCTGAGGCCTCCAAAATGCAAAAGGCTACCTGCTGTAGAATCTTAGCGGGAGCTGACAAATATTCTTAGCTCCGACTCTAATGAGTACCTGCTACAAAAAGAGTCCTGGCTCCGATTATGAGGCTTTAAACGCATACGGTTTCAGAAAGAACAGAATGTATTTGTCCTTCTCTTGTGGGGATAAAAAGCAATGGCTTTATGCCATAAGGAGGGTAGGTTTAAGTATAATTGTCTGTTATTAGAAAAACCCCAAACTTACCACAATGGAGGTATCTCTTGTTGTGTTCTCAGGAATGACAACTTCATAAGTGTCCTTTTCCCACCGAGGGGGTTGGTTTATTGTACTGGTGACTGTAATTCTAACCTCAGCCTTACTGCTCCTGTTCCCTCCGTCCGTTGCTATGATTTCTTCAGTTATGAAAGACTTCTGAGTCAAAAAAGAAAAGAACTCCTTTATTAGACTTGATTCTTAATGAAAAAACATCTCTACCACTACTTATATCATGGTTGCAGGGCTTCTGGATTTTGCTAAGTACTTTTCAGCCTTTTTATTTTGGGACGGATTCCTTTACAGGAGAAATAAGAGTCGGTAATCAATGATTCTTCTTCCTCTGCAGGTGGAGAAGTCCTCCTGTTAAGCAGCCCATCTGTTTGGAGACTGAAGAGCTTCTCGGCAGATGTGCTTATGCTCTCTGCTGAAAAGCCGCACCAAGTTATTTTTGCAAATTATTTTGTTGTTGAAGTTTTAGAAATCTGTCCCATTAGGAAGGCTGCAGTCTGTTGTCTGGAGACTAGGGCCCTTTATACTGAGGTGGGAGGAAAAGCAGAGCGGAATGGAGGAAGAAAGATGGAGCAGAAAGCAAAGCAGGGGCTGTAAGAGGGACAGAAGAATAAATACTGATGCTCAGAATCTTTCCTTGCCTACATTAAGCTATAAAAAACAGCAGCAACTTGGAGGCAACTACCAGCAGTGAGTGGCAATTTCTGGCCACTGTCATGCAGCAGCCAGAGCTGCAAGAGACAAACAAGCAGCTAGGGACCTCCATGACAGGGCTCACTGAGAAACAGAGGGGTACGCAAATGGAAATGGCATTGGATGTCTGTGGGCCACTTCAAACCTGAAGAATTATGGATGCACACATAGCAGGCAGAAGTCAGAAAACTGCAAATGGAGCTGGACTCACTGGACGGATCTTTCCCTCCCACACCCTCCCCCTAGCACTCCCTTTTAAGAGGCAGAGGATGACCAAGAAATGGGTAGGATGCTACACAGGGTACTGCAACTGGAGAATAGAGTTTACAGTGGTCCCCGAATTGGAGTTGCATCCAATCCAGCACGTTCCCATGCACAGTTAAAGGATGACTGCAACAATCACATGTTTACAATCATGTGTCAGGTTTGCTAGGACAACCACTGCCCATTTTAAGCCTGCTCTCAGGTTTCCAAATCTTTCCCACTACCTACCACAACATCTATTGCCTTCCAGTTCTTTATTTTCCAACTTCCATAACACATTCTACATTTTCCAAAAATCCCAGAGTTCGCAAATCTGTGACAACTCTTACGAATACACAAAGCTGCCCTGTATATAATTTATATTGTTTACATAATTGCGGGGCTCTAGTTACAGAATCGCAGGGAAAAGCACTGCACTATGGGGAGGACTCCGTTCCGATCTCCTGGTTATGACCAGAGATCTCCTGGATCACTTCCACCAAGGCAAATGTAACAAGTTAAGATGCAACAGTGATGGGGACATTATGATTATAGAACCAACCCATTCAAGAAGAAGCCCTCGACTGGTAGACATCAGCCGGAGCAATTACAAGCAGAGCCCCAGGATGGTCACGCCGCCCATTTCTGTACTTGGGGTCCTGCTGTATCTATTGGTAATTTACACCATCAGCTGACATTGGGCTACACATATATTAAAAGGGCTGCACACTCCGTACCTGCGATATGGGCTGGCTTACATAAACCCAGCCAGTGGTAGGATTAACCTGGAAGTATTTGGAAAAATACGTAAGGCCAGCGTTAAAGCCATAGTCGTCGTCGTGGGCTGCGACACGAAGGAAGCTCGTCCCAACGGCTGTGTCCTCTCTCAGGAAATCTGGGGGTACAGATTGGACCCTCTTTATTAGCATTATGGCACCATACAACGTGGAAGAGAACGTTTTAAGAACGGGCATGGATTACAGATGTGCACTCTGGACAACTCTTACGAATACACAAAGCTGCCCGGTATACAATTTATATTGTTTACATAATTGCGGGGCCCTAGTTACAGAATCGCAGGGGAGGACTATGGGGAGGACTCCATTCCCATCTCCTGGTTATGACCAGAGATCTCCTGGATCACTTCCACCAAGGCAAATGTAACAAGGTAAGATGCAACAGTGATGGGGACATTATGATTATAGAACCAACTCATTCAAGAAGAAGAAGCCCTCGACTGGTAGACATCAGCCAGAGCAATTACAAGCGGAGCCCCAGGATGGTCATGCCGCCCATTTCTGTACTTGGGGTCCTGCTGTATCGATTGGTAATTTACACCATCAGCTGACATTGGGCTACACATATATTAAAAGGGCTGCACACTCCGTACCTGCGATATGGGCTGGCTTACATAAACCCAGCCAGTGGTAGGATTAACCTGGAAGTATTTCATTTTCCCACCAGCTGCAGAATACGTAATGGCAGCGTTCAAGCCATAGTCGTCGTCGTGGGCTGCGACACGAAGGAAGCTCGTCCCAACGGCTGTGTCCTCTCTCAGGAAATCTGGGGGTACAGATTGGACCCTCTTTATTAGCATTATGGCACCATACAACGTGGAAGAGAACGTTTTAAGAACGGGCATGGATTACAGATGTGCACTCTGTTCTTTGCCCTGGCCTGGATGGCCCAGGCTAGCCCAATCTCGTCAGATCTTGGAACTGCTTCTCCCATCGAGGGAAACAGAGATGTCCGGAAGAGTGCACAGCCCTGAGGTTCTATTCATATATCTTATGAATGAGTTATCGTGTGATATGAGTGCCTTAGTGTCCACTCAGGGAAGAATTCTATCATCAGCAGAAAGGTAGTACGGGCAAAGCGAAACACCTTCACATTATAAAGGATTTCAAAGCACATGCTGAGTTACCGTTTTAAAATGAATAATTTTATTGAATCTCTCACGCATTAATTTGATCCACAACCTGGGCAATTTCACTGACGCGCTGCATTCTGTGGCATTTCATTTTCCCACCAGCTGCAGAATACGTAATGGCAGCGTTGAAGCCATAGTCGTCGTCGTGGGCTGCGACACGAAGGAAGCTCGTCCCAACGGCTGTGTCCTCTCTCAGGAAATCTGGGGGTATAGATTGGACCCTCTTTATTAGCATTAGGGCACCATATAGCGTGGAAGAGAACATTTTAAGAATGGGCTGTGATTACAGATGTGCACTCTGTTCTTTGTCCTGGCCTGGATGACCCAGGCTAGCCTGATCTCGTCAGATCTTGGAACTACTTCTCCCATCGAGGGAAACGGAGACGTCTGGAAGAGTGCACAGCCCTGAGGTTCTATTCATACATTTTATGAATGAGTTATCGTGTGATATGAATGCCTTAGTGTCCACTCAGGGGAGAATTCTATCATCAGCAGAAAGGTAGTACAGGCAAAGCGAAACACCTGCACATTATGAAGGATTTCAAAGCACATGCTGAGTTACCCTTTTAAAATGAATAATTTTCTTGAATCTCTCACGCATTCATTTGATCCACAACCTGGGCAATTTCACTGACGCGCTGCATTCTGTGGCCAGCCGACTGCAGGGATCGCTGAATGAATTGTTTAGTTTCAGACCTGGTTATGGAACTGAAATGGTTTCGGTCGCCCTGGTGGACGACCTGCCCTGGGAGATGGGACCGGGGGAATGAGGTCCTGTTAATTCTCCTGGATCTCTCAGCAGCTTTTGATACCACAGAGCATGGTATCCTTCTGGACCCCCCTTCAAGGTAGAGACTGGAAAGTAGCGTTGTGCAGTGGTTATAATGCCACAGAGTCTACCCTCCAAAGTGGACATTTGAAGAAGAAGAAGAAGAGGAGGAGGAGAGAAGAGATTGGATTTATACCCCGCCCTTCACTACCCAAGGGAGTCTCAGAGCGGCTTACAAACTCCTTCCCCTTCCCCTCCCCACAAGGTCGGTGGGGCTGAGAGAGCTCTTGACAGAAACTGTTATTTTTTT